ATGCGGTTTAGGGCAAAAGAGCTGCCTTCTGTCATGCTAGTCAGCAGCCCAACACTTAACCCTTACCAGGACTACAATCCGCCTTCCTTGCATCCTCTGCAATAGAGTCGCTTTTTGCGTAGCATTTTTATGCATTACAGATTATTTCGATTTTGTCGATTTCGATCCTGACAGTCCCATAATGATTGTCGTATGCGTATGCGTATCTTGTTCAGCATTACAAAAACGCAGAGAGAGGAACAGCCTCGAATACCAATAAGCGTGGCTCCAGAGGCTCGTCATGCATTTTGTACGTGTCACGTACGATCGTTAATCAATAATCAAATTTTCGACTCGCATATCTTGTAATTCTGCAACAGGAACGCCCCGATTTCTTGCAACATCGCTTCCGCAACGACTTTGCGGATCAGGGGGTGTGCCAGGGTCAGGATGTAGTATGCGATGGCCTGTGAGATCGTGTTTTTGTGTGTTGTTTGCACTTCTAAAGAGAAAAAGAGAATATTTGCCAGGTGTTGTATCAGAAAATATCGCTGTTGTACGTACACCAAAGAAAAACACATGTACTTTTTCCACATCCACTTCCACTCCGGGCGAGAAATCGCCGTTGCGAAAAAGTTCTCCCATGATAAACAGTCCGCCCGCGTAATTGTGCTCGAAGGCCAGGGATTCCAGCAGGGACAGCATCATCTTCCCATCGTCCTCCGCGATAAAGCGCTGATTCGCGATATGCAGGAAAAAAACATTGCTAGTGTAAGTGTGTAGTGCGCAACACGTAAGAGGATTGCGTCTGTCATGCTGGACATGGTGCATTGCAGGGTCCATTCAGGAAGCGCGTTTTGACGTGCTATCTGCGCATGACAGGTTTCTGCTGTCATGCCAAACAGATTTGTATTGCTGATCAGCCAAAAAAGTTACACCTCCTACAATCTTTTTTTCTTGGGTACGCGAGTCGCTTGACCTTCTCTAGCTGTTCCCGCGCTTCGCCGGTGCCCGCGGGGAACGACAGGATCGCGCGAAAGGTGACGTCCATTTTTCTTTTGTGCTGATAATATCAGATATACAGGTGCTTTTATCTCGTCATGGCGAGAAGAGCTTTGTGCAGAGAATGAAAAGAACAGCTGAACTACAAGCTGTGTTGTTTTACGTTCATCACAAGTATGAGAAAACAAAGTAGAACTACTCTAAAGTAGCAAGTTGCTGCGGTACTGATAGAAGCGCCTGTAGCTCTCCAACACCAACTTTCAGCACTCGCTGCATGATGTTGTACTAGTTTCTACTCTAGTGCAACGACTAGCACTACGGGACGCAGTACTTCGTCATCATTAACTCTCAAACTACAAACAACTCCTTGTGCATGACTCCCACCTTCTATTAAGTTCGACCATTCTCTTCATCCGTCTCCGTAGTTGTGGTTTTATTAATTTGTTCCGTACTTTGTCGTCCAGCTAAAAACTACTTACCATTCATCCTGAATGATCGGCTAGCGACACATCCAATAGAAGCAGTAGAAGACGTGCCGACGTGGACAGCAGTATTAGACTTCAAATCTGACAGTAATCACCATCTGCAAGAACCGATTGGAATAAGATGTGGCACCGTGATTCTTCAGCGCAAGAAACCACGACGAGGACACCGGACGGATAAAACCGTGGAGACTACTTTGCAGAACACATAGATATCCCAAGACGACTAGTATCTGTCAGCTCTCCAGCAAAAACCAGCTGCAAGTGGTCCGTGTTGAGCGTCATCCTCATCCTCGACGGGAAGAGAACAAGAAGGAGACCAGGCGAGTTTGATTCTATCGAGTCTGGTGCTGGTGCAATTCATTGATCGCATTGTCTATACACTGTAGTGTTGCTTCATTCTTCAAAAAAACTCCTCCATTTTCGGGTACGCGACGTTCTGCCGCGGGTATGAAGGAAAAAAGCTCTTTGCGTCGGTGCCATTGTATTCAAACACCTAAACGTGTCGAACGATGCAAAAGCACGATGAAAATTATCCCGTGCACCAGCAGGTCCGTCTTAGCGTGCAGCTGTGAAGGCGCCCTCTCATGGTCATGCATCCATTGCATGACAAACTAGCCCCCTTCATAAAGATTTGACAACTCAAAGAACTTGTCCTCTGCAAAGCCATTTCGTATCCCTCCAGGAATCGGTATCGGCGCTCGGAACTCTTCTAAGCCAGGTATCCAACGTAGATGAAGAAAATTGTTTGGACATTGCACGACCTTGCTGCTGTGTAAAAATTGGTGCCTTGACAAGGCACCAATACAGCCTTGTGTAATCACATCTTGTGATTGAAAGCTTGTGGCCAGCGCAGCTTCTTACTGTGTGCTGAAGCTGATACTGCCCACCTATCTGATGTCAGAAATAACAAAAGCACAATCCACCTTGAAGATGCACATCACCCTATGTAAATCATGCTATGCCAGACAAAAGTTCTCCCCCACTTGGATATCGAATATGCTCGCCTTGGCTTCATCCAGCAGCCGCTTGGCTATCTTCTGTTTCTGGGCAAAGGGCACGTTTTCCCGAAAGTAACGCAGCATATTGCCCAAATCCTCCGTCTTGGTGCTGTCCACGTCAAACTTGTTCATGCACTGCAAAAGTAATATCGCACTCGTTGTACTATTAATTGCAGTTATGCATCACAGATCTCCCACCTTCCTAAGGCTAAGGTAAAACAGCATTACATACAAATTCCATTTGTCATGCCAAGCAAATTTGTATATGCAATCACCACTAGCTGGACTAGTACGATACTTTTACTTTTGCAGTGGATATTGTTTTTGTCGTGTAGATTCTCTTTGCTCCAGTTTACCAGTTTCTCGAACTTGTTCCGCCGGTTCTGCTATCATGTGCAAAAGCATCGTATTCGTAGATAGTAATTGCAATTATGCACGATAAATCTCCTTTCCAACGCGCATCAGAATGAAAAATTCTATTTCTCATGCTGACGACATTTGTCATGCGATAATTTCTACTAGTACGACTACGATAACAATACTGTTGCCATGCATATCTCCTCCGTTTTCCCTGGATTCAGGATCAAATTGTCGGACTTGGGGTTTCGGGAGTACGGGTTGTTGGGGTTTTGAATCGTCTTCACGAGGGGCAGGTTGATGTAGTCTTTCTTGTCTGGCGGAGACAAAATGACGCCATCTTCGTTCAGCTTGTCTAGCTTCGGACCCCACTCGTACGGTATCCTTTGCAAAAGTATCGACGCTACCGTGCTGTTCGTTGCAAATATTGCTATACAATTACAAAACCTCTGTGTTTGGGAAAATACGCATGAGAAACCCCTTTCCTCATGTTGAGCAAGTTTGTCATGCGCCTTCCGCTAGTAGTACAGTAGGACAAGAACGGCGACAATGCTTTTGCGAGGCATATACGGCCGGTTTTCGTAATACTGCTGGATGTCCGCTCCGCGCTGTTCTGCCTCCTCCGTGGCCAGCTGTAAGTTTTTTTCGAACAAGTTCTGCACGGCGTTCTGCAGATAATGCCGGCTGCTCGGGATGAAGCTCGCCATGTTTTCACTGCAAGACCTGCAGGTCGACGTGCACACGTGTTTCACCTGTTCTTCAAGAAATAGTAAACAAGTTCTCGTCCTCCGCAAGAATAAAACGCGTCCCTCGCGAACTCGGACGAAAAGCTACTTGCGGTGCGCTTTCAACTCGTCGTTCTTCACCGATTATACTCCTGGAGTTGTGGACAATTTTTGTGGGCGGGTGAATGTGGTCCTCGACATGCATCTTCTTCCATGAACAGGTGTCTTGATCATGTGCAGCTGCTGTCAGCCTATTCAATAACAGATCGACGACTGAGTAGAAGTTTTTCAGAATTTATAAACGCAGCGTATCGACTGCTCGAAAGCGAATGCGACAAAGAAAAACATATCAACCCAACAGGAATGAAACGATTCGGATTCCGACGACGAATAATTGCGACGACGAGGAGCGATAATTACGACGAGGCTGCCACGAAATAAAAGCGAAGGCATAAAGATAAACGGCTTTGATCGATCGCGCAGCGCAGCTGCATACTCGCGTTTGCAAACAACTTTTCGCTTTCGGTGTCACTTTCGCCGCACAGGTGTAATAAACACTAGTTGGTCTCATGTCACGAACAACTGTCAGAACTCAGAACAACAACGGGCCGCTCCATTGTAAAAACTGCTAAAATCGTTACGAACACGGCTCCACCCAAGAAGGGTAGGTGGGTCGTATTGAGGAATCTACTTCTGAACGTCATACAATTACCGCCGCTCGTCCGGTGTTGAAGTTTAATCTCTTTTGTTATGGTGTTGTAGTCAAAATGGAGCCAAGCAGTGCGAAATGTTGGCTTCGATATTACAAAGTCAAAGACGAAGAAATCCGCCGTGATATAATCGCATGTCACGTCAATGCTCATCCTCATATATACAGTTGTTGAAACGTGGACGTGGTCGCGGTTGGTCGTCATGGTCCATACATGCAAGTACGTCGAAAGCCGATCTTCGGCGTTTGAAAAAAAAGTGTAACAACGTCCAGAACTGGATGCGGATTCCAAAAATCGAATTAGAAATGAATGGCTCTGCCAACGTAAAAGCTAAAACTCTGTACATCATCAATGCGCTAACGTGGGCTCGTGCTCTTGCTTGTTTAGATGAAATACTTGACTTGCGTACCGACTCTTACTCTTTATTCTGGTCATACAATTTTTAGCACGACAGACTTGCTCAATGAAAGGATGAATCGCAATTCTTGCGATAAAAGTCATCTAAATGAAAGTGTAAGTGATGAACTCGATAAAAAAACATCACGGAAGAAACTCAAACTAGTACTTTGAACTACCAGCTCGAACTTGGATTGTTCGAACGGAGAGAATTTTCCTTTTCGCATTAAAAAAAGATAATTGATTCTCCAGCTTCGCCTTTAGTAGGACAGAGACAGACCCAGTAGAGGATAACTTCGTTTCTCACCACAGTGCTGCAACAGTAGTTTCTGTTTCCTGCACACAACGACCTACTTACGAGGATAGGACAGGCACAGAGGAAGCTTGCACTTATCGTTATCCTGTCGCGCTCGTGCTACTTGTAGAAGGCTTCCTAGTTTTATTGCACCTCATCTTCGAGCGCCTTTTGCATCACCTTTTTCAACATTTTCACAAACGCCTCGTCCCTCTGTTCTCGCTGTTGTTGTAAAAATTGTTCTTCATCTTCCATTTCCGCATGAGAAACATCCGCTCCTGCATCTTCCACATTATCCACAGATTCATCTCCGTCGACATCGTCCCCTGCGACTGCCAGCTTTCCCACATTAGGAGAAAAATCCGACGACCATGGTCCTCTTGCGTCAGACGTAGGGGAGTTGTTGCACGGGCTACTAGAAGATGTTCCGGTGTAGTCGGACGAAGCATCTTGATCTTCCTCTCCCGAACAAGATGATACAGTATCATCATCGACGTCGCAGGAAAGACGACTAGTACAGACGGAGCTGCTGGGGGTTGTATCTTCTTCACCTACTTCTTGCTCTCCGTCGGAACAAGCGCGGAACGACTCCTCGTCCGCGTCGTCTGACGAAGATTCGCAGGATGTTGACGATGACGCTCCTGCTGCACGGTCCTCTCCATTATGATCCGCATTAGCCGCGACAAGCGTAGTTATCGGCGATTGCGCTGGGCGAGCAGGACCACCGCCACCAACACTGGTCTTACAATGAAAAATGCCCCCACACCGGAACTTGGCAGCATTTGTTGTGCAAAGGCAAACCTTTCCAATGGAAACATAAACATGATTCCCCGTCATGCGTATCTCAGCTTCACAAATTTTCGATGCTGAAGAGCTTAAATTTGTGTTGCAAAGGAGCCCAACAGCAACCGGATCTGTTTAACAGATCCGGTTGCTGTTGGACAAGACACCTTCTTGCGCACCTAGATTCTGCATCAGAGAGGCTCACAGCCCTTTTATGCAAGACAAAAACCTTTCATTTGGAAACTTCGCATGACAAACTGTTGCAAATTCCGGGGTGAGGGCATTTTTCATTGTAGTAACTGGTGCTCGCGCTACAGTCCGCGTCTTCCCCGTTAACAGTCACACTGTATTCCGGATAGAAGCACGCGTCTAGAAAAGGATCGTGGTCCTCGAGTTGATGTCCTCCCGCGTTGGTGATGGAAGGAGAGGTGATCGCCGAATACCCGCCTGGCATATCGTGTACCACGACAAGCTCATCTCCGCCTGATGGAGCTGTTGTTTCTGCTCTCAATTCTTGCTGTTCTTGGGCAGCTCCTGCAATCACGACGTGCGGCTGGGACGGGCACGCCGGTATGGTCGGGAACAGCAACGCTGGCGGATTGTTGTTGTGCATGTGAGGTTCAAGAAGATCCTGTGTTGTACTAGCCGCGTCAGAGGAACTGGTATTTCCTGGCGGCGAGGGGATCGTGCCTGGCAGGTCGTGGCACAACCGATTAGCATTTGCAGAAGTAGGACCCGCAGTTGTCCCCATAACGACCAACGAGTCCGCCCGTTCGGGACGAGGAGGCGGGGGTGGGACTGCTTCAAATATGCAAGAAAAAAACTGTGTTTGTAAGTGTAAAAGTAAATCTGTGATGCAGAAAATGCAAAACAGTCACACTTATCTTTATCATGCTCGACATGCATTATCGGCTCGCTTTCTCTGTGTTTTCCCTTCCTATCTGCGCATAACAAGTTTTTCCTGTCGTGGCAGACAAACTTGTGATGCAGTTTTCCCAAAAGACTTACACCAACACAGTTTTTTCCTTGGATATTAAAGAACCCGATAGCAGTAGTACTGCCTCCGCTTTGACGTGCAGTGCCGCACGAGGACGAGTGACCTTGTTCTGCAACTCCTGACAAGGCGCTGGCGTTAGCGTAGCTATTTGGTCCCGTCGCAAGATGTTCTACTTGGTGCGACGATAAAACAAGCGTGCTGGCTGCTGGCGCCCCCGCGCCACCTATCGCAAGAAAAAACTGTTTCGCTGGAAGGATTTTGCAAGTTTTGCATTACAAGTTCGCTACACATTACAAAGAAAACTTGCCATGCGAGGAGCCGAAGCGAACACACCGCTAAAAATCACTTGTCTTGCATGTGTAGCAAGACAAACACTTCAGTCATGCATTTTCTGCATTACAGGTTTACAGTGAAACAGTTTTTTCTTGCGATACCACCGTGAAAAACAGTATTGAACCCCACAGTTGGACTGCCAGTCGCTGGCGTCTATCAAATGCAAAAATGTCTGGGTCTGGAAGATTCTAAACTTGTGATGCTGTCTCTGGATTCTAAAGAAATTTGCATTGTATGACCGGCAACAGAGCTCCAGTTTGTGGTTGTGCTACCCGGAGAGGGCATTTCTCATGCGGTAGAGGCATCACAAAGGCCTCTAAAAATCTG